ATAAGCAATCTAAATTATATAAAGCAATATTATGTAAATATAATGTAAAAAGCAAATTTTAAGGCACTTAAAAGTCAGTGAAAAAACTAAATAAGAATATAATTACAAATTTTAAAAATATATTCTTAATTTAAAAATTTTTGATTTTCAAATAGAATATTATTAATATTTAAAAATTACTTGAAATTAATTTTTGTTTTTAAAATTGGAGAAAAAGTAATATTTAAAATATAAAGAGAAATTATTTTGAGGTAGATGATTTAAAACTGCGAAATTAATTAAATTTATCACTTCTTTCCTCAATTATCCACTAGGACTTAGTTTGGAATTCATAGGGATTACATTAATCGTATTAATGTATGCTACTGTCAAGCAACAAGTGGTTCTAAAGATGTAGGGAAAAATCTATCGCCGGAACATCAAAGCTACCTGTGTAACGTGGCTTTACTACTTGTTCTCTCTCTCTCTCTCTCTCTCTCTCTTTTTTTTTCTCTCCTCGAGAGTTTTAAATCATGGAAAACTCGTCACTCGAAGAGCCTCAAAACAAAGATGCGGTTTTTCTTTTTTTTTTTTTTATTTACGAATAAATTTTCCTTTATACAATATAAACGGAATTATAGATCAAAGTTATATTTTAACCTCGATTTTTAACAAAAATACTGAATTATTTATGTTATTCTCTTTTTTTTTCTGATACCAACTTTTTTATGGAGGAAAAAAAATTTTAAAGCTTTGTGTGATGATGAAAATTCAAATTGTAAATTTTTTACTATTGTTTTTCTTAAAAAATGGAAAAATATTTTAAAAATTAATGACAGTATTAAAAAAATTTTAAAATTGAATTAAAATTACGTAAAAAATTAATTTCAATTAATGTACGCCAAAAATTAAAGAGCAATTTATAATATGGCAGAGTTTAATGAATGCATCGTAAAGTGATTTAATTACTTGGAAATTTCAATTCAAAGTTCCTTTTCCTTATGCCGATGTTTAAAACGTATATATATATATCTCTACCTGGGACTTTAATTTAGGGTCCCAGCTTAAATCTTAAAATCTATGCCAAGAGACCTGAAGTCTTAAATTATTCTATACAATTCTAGGTTCTAGGATCTTAAATCCTAAATCTCAAAAATAACTAGAAAGTTTATTCTATAAGATTTATCTAGGTATATATTATCTCTCTCTCTCTCTCTCTCTCTCTCTCTTTTTTTTCGTTATGAGTTTTGGAGAAAAAGATAATATAGGAATTGTAAATGTTTACAAAATTTTATTTGTGACAATTTTAACATTATTATCATTCGAGAATATCTTGGCGTTATGAATATAATGGCGCCGATTCGATTTATGTGAAAAGAAGGACGAAAAAGGCGTCGCGACGCATGAAACCTGTACCAGGACCTTTTAGTTTTCAAATATGTATATATATATGTATATAACGATCGCAAACGAGCTTTTGCGCTTGGTAACTTTCGTATATATTTCCTGGGCATGGAGTTATATGAACACACGGAAAGTTACCGAGGCTTTATAGAAACGCTTGTTCGGCACTTTCCATCCGAACAGCGGGCGAGCGCTGGGCGTGTATTGGTGTGATCGTTCCCGACATGATGGGTGGTGGGCTCGGCGCGGCGAACGGCGCCCCAGGGGCGGATTAATATATCCCAGAACCCCATTCCTATACATATTACATAGAGAAAGAGAGAAAGAGAGAGAGAGAGAGAGATCTCTCAACCCCTGCCGATTCACATAGTTCAACCATAAATACACACCGTCAAATTTACAACACGTGGCGTGGCTGATATGGCCCCACCGACGTGTACTTCAAATCCTTGTTTTTAATTTGTTTTACCCGACCTTTTCAAGAAATTGCTTGCTCGTAAATGCGGTTATTTCACTCAAATATATTTCAACTTCGTAATATTATTTTCATTTTAATGTACTTTAATGACTTCTTTTTTTGATAACTCAATATTCAAAAAGAAAAAAATATATAAAAATCAGAAAATTTTTGTGCTTTTTCATTAAAGTCATTATAATATAAACAATAGATTATTTAGCAGTTTTATATATATTAATGCATATGAGTGTTATATTTTGAAATATTTTTAATTCCTACAGTAATTCAAATATCGAATTTTCGTGCATGATAATTTAATTATGTACCGTTAGGATGGGCTATTGTGTTGGAAGGACGTTAATGAGAGTAGGTAAGTGTCAGTCGGGTTGCCTATATACGCGTTCTAACAGGGATTCATTAAGGCTGATTATCTACCCCCTTCTTTTATTACTAGTGAAATCTATCCTCCTCTGGCCTTTATATTTAAAAAGAGAGAGAGATAAGTTTTATGTTTTCAAAAACTTTCTTATAGGTAGGGCGTGTTTATTACTTCTATTTGATTTTAATGAGCTTATAATTATTAACAGAGATTTTAATAGTGAAAACAATGCTTTATTTTATAAGAATTGTTTGTTAACCCTTTCAGGGGCAGTGGGACGTATACGTCCCACCTTTTTTGTTGTTGTATTTTTGGTATTTCCGGCATATTTATCTAATAATAATCATATATTTCTTATTTTTAGATTCTAAGGATATAATATAACGAATCTATAATATTGTTTATGAATAATTTATTATTGTTAACTTAATATTATTCCATCAATCTGAAAAATATGCATTTTTTTAATAATTAATTCAGCTATTTGTAAACGCGAAGTGCTACGACTTTGAAAATCTTTACTCGGGGGTTTTTGGGGTCCCTGATTACGAATCTGAGGTCAGTTTTTCAAAATTCAAAATGGCGGATCCAATATGGCGGACGACTTTTTAAAAATATAATGCAATTTGTATGAAACTCGTTACTCGGGGGTTTTCGGGGTTGCTGATTACGAATCAGATGTCAGTTTTTTAAAATTCAAAATGGCGGATCCGACATTTTGAATTTTGAAAAACGGGCATTAAATTCGTAATCAGCGACCCCGAAAACCCCCGAGTAACAAGTTTCAAGCGAATATATTGAATTTTAAAAAAAATGTCCGCCATATTGGATTCGCCATTTTGAATTTTTAAAATTTGCAAAATCTGACCTCGGATTTGTATTCAGCGACCCAAAAAACGTATAAATACGTAATGAAACAAAAATTTGTATGCTTAGAATAATGTGCCCCTGAAAGGGTTAATTAAAAATAGACTTTTTATTTTTAATTATAATAATTAATTGCATTTGATAATTAAATTTTCAAGTCTCACTATATGAGAGGGTTCAGTGCATTAAAATTTATACATATTTACGCATACTGCTCACTTAGAATTGTTCTAGGGTAATGAACAATTTTGAGTTAGGTTGTAACTCTTCATTTGAAATGCTATTATTAAATAATGTTTCAGAGTTAACATTTTTTTTTTCCAAAAAAAAGAACACAAATTAAATAGTAATGTTTTAAAATTCTCAGAACTAGAAAAACAATTATATTTTTCTTACTTTCGTATTTCTCATTATTGAATGGGAATTTATATATATCTCTAGAAAAAGAAAAGGTGATAATTTATGGATATTTGACAGAAGTTGTCATCACATATTATATTGTTAATCAATATAAGCCCCTAATTTTCAACCAGTCAAACCCCTCGTAAAAGTTATTTTTCCCTTAAAAAGTATTTCTGGTTGGAATCCATTGTATTCTAATTATCAGTTTACCACAACGTTAATCCAGTGATATTTAAATACACAACAACATATGACGTTGATTTATAACGTTCTCGATAAATAATTTACAATTTTTCCTGCAATAACATAAAAAGAAAAAAAAATGCCGTGAAATTCATAGTAAAATTTTAAATAAAAGTATTGAAAAACTGGAAAATAAAAGTTATTATATAACTATAAAGGAAAAAAAAAGTATTGAAAATTTGTTATTATTCATAAAAGAATAAACTAAAAATACAATTTTATTCTATGCAATTCTTGTTTTAGAAAGCAAATTTAATCAAAAAATTTAAATATCAGAATTAAAACTTGAAATTCAAAGCCTGGAACTATAACCTCAGACCCCCTTAAGTATTCTGTTAAGCCGTCCCTGGCAAAGCGAGATCTCACGATGGAACGCACCACTACTAGTACAATAATCTCATGGACGGCTGACAGTTGTCCGCACACAAGCACATACACCACTATCGCCCCCATTGCACTCAACATACATAGACACACACAAACCCAAGTGCTATTACCGACGGCAGACTGGCGCTGAGCTCACCAACACAGACCCCTGTCTTATTTCTTTAGCATTCAACCGTTACGAACCTTCTACCATCATCTACCCATTTAAAAAAAAAAAAAAAAAATTTCAAGTTCCCTCCTCAAAGGAAAACAAAAAACTCGTTTTTCCTACAGAAAAATCATTCTCAATTTTCTTTTCCCCTACTCCGATTGACGATCCTATCTATCTAGCAAATCTAGCGGTTGCGAAAATGGGAAACCGGGCTTTATCATTCGTGTTATATGTATATGTGTATTGAGAATGTGTATGTCTGGCACTAACAGTGGGGAGAGAGCAAAATGCGCGCGCAACCATACAATCACAAGTCCTCGAGCTAAATACACGTGCATCGTCAACGACGACACACCGAGAGACCTGCATATCGGCACCGCCGCCGCTCCTACCAGGTTTCCCATCGACATCGATTTCCAGTCGCAAGGCTCAGCGAAATGAAACCAACGAAGAGAATACGAGTCCCGCAAGCAAACGCTTTGCGCGCTCGTTTTAAACGCACCGATGCATGCCACTTCCAAGACTCGATAAAACAGACACGAATTCCAATGCGAATTGACGTAGATGCAATAAAGGTGCGATTCTTCTAAGGGGAAGGGTGTATTATGGAGAGGGGATTGCGGTAGTGAGAGGGTGACGGATGACGAGAGGGGCAAAAGGACAAGTAGCGAGACCTCTGGTGGGGGTAGATGAGAAATAAGCAAAGGCGCCCTCAGTCGGTCGTACGCTTTACTATCGTTAACATATACGAGCCAATCGACTTTCTGTGCTGCGTGTTCCCGTTTTCAACTCTTACACGTTCGCCAGACAACAAAATTTAAATTCTTCATTTCAATTTTAAAAAAGTTTTTCGTTTTAAACGAGATTCCTTTACAGAGTTACTTCAATTTAGAGGATTTTTGCATTCTTATTGGACTTGTGTATATAGTCTATAAAATAACTAAGAAGGAACCAAAGTTGGGTCCATAAATGGGACCCTGGTTATCCTTGATCAAAACACACAAGGTCAAAAAGATAAAGGTGCAAAGAATTTTCAAAAGTTGAAGAAATTAAGGAATATTTATAAATATTTTTTTTTTCAAACTATATTAGAAAAATTTTAAATTAAAAAAAGGAGAAAGGAAGTTTTACGCGAGTAATTTTCGAAGAAGACGTGTCAAGGAAACGAGCTGAGGCGCACGGTGAGAGTCACCGGAGTGACAGCTCAACGGTCGAAATTTTCGTACATAATAGAGAGTGTTGTGCTGTTTAGGAGGGTGAGAGGAATCATCAAGAGAGAAAAAGGGAGAGAATTCGAATAAGAGAGAGAGACAGATAGAGAGAAGCGTTGGAGGAGAAATACACTGAGTGGTGCTGCCCCCTTCCGAGGAAATCGTTGCTCCCTCTCCAGAGCCAGTCGAACGAGGTCTGTTCAGAACAGAACGGTTTTTACCACTGAACACTTGACATCATACCAGTTTGGAGTTGTACTCACTTTTCATTTACTGAGTTGTTACTTTGTTTGAATTCCGAATCATTAACGGTTTTCTAATAACAATTTTTACGTTTTCTTATCAAATAAAATAGATTTTGAAGTGTGTGAAATTGGAGCGAGGACTAAAGGCTGCAACTCTGTGAGAACGAATAGCGCAACGGTGTTGCGTGGACTAGTTTCGAAGGTATCATTGTCGTGCGATCACGGTGCGGAAACAGAAGAGAATTTAGGAGGGTGAGGTGAGGAATTTCTCGCGTGGTTGTCCGGTGTGTTGGTTGGGGGGAGCGTAAGGACAGAGAGATAAAGAGCGACGGTGACGGGGGGAGTTCAAAGGGGGCATCGAGGGAGAGAAAGAGTGAGAGAGAGAGCGCTCTAGTGGACTCTGTTAGAAGCTCAGTTATCACAATGGCTTCCGTGAAAGACACCGCGACTTTTTTTGCGGAGGGCACTTCAAATCAATTTGAGCACGTCCTTAAATTATATCCTCAGGCTCTACGAGTCAAGGCAATCCACAAGACGAAGAAACCTGAGGAGCTGATCAAGCTGGACAATTGGTGAGTTTTTAATTGACTTGAAACGAAAGGTCTCTGTCGGGTTTTTCAAAGGGGCTTCGCGGACAATGAACCCGAGGCGCGCCAGTTGCGGGCACGTAGCATACTGCCTCGGGAGAGCGACCCGCACCCTCGAGGGCTATCTATCTTGATATTGCTACGATTGACGATGCGAAATCTCGCGGATAGTTCAAGCGCGATTTTCATCAGAGTAGGGGGGGAGGGTACATGAAAAAGGAGAGAAGCGACGCATAGGCGTCACGTGGCCGGCGGAGAGTTTCTTTGAGTTTCAAAGATACTAAAATTCATAACTTTTTTGAGATTTCCAGTTTTTCTTTTTTTTTTTGATAGAGCTTAAAAGCCGGGTCTTTGATAATTGGCTGGGTCGAGACCCGGAACTTTGAGCTCGTTTTCAGGCTGAGTTGAACTCAAAGGAACTCGCCGACGTTGCCATTTCGATAGAGGCTTCACTCGCAACGTCTGGATAAAATAAGCGCTTTATAATTTTCTTTCTAGAGAATTTTCATTTAATTCAATCTTGTTATTGTTATCGCTTAAAGCGCTAGACATGAATGGGGAAAAGGTTATTTGTTTTATTTTCTTTTTTTTTTAATCGATGACAGGAGACGAGCGTATTGACAACGTCGCCGTGAGCGGCGTCAGTTCGTGCTCCAATTAATAAGACTTGCTGAATTTTGTAGAAAATTTTTTAATATTTTAAAAATTTTTAAGACTTATAAATTTTACAAAATTAAAAATTTTTTATAAAGAAGTTTATTTAAAAATATTGACTGATGTATAATATTTGAAACTTAACACTGAACTTTTTGAAGCATAGAGAATTTAAATTTTGACTTTTTGGAATATGTACACTTTGTTATTTTATATTTCTTTTGTCTTTTTAAAAACAATTAAAGAATTATATGTTATATTTATTTTTTATTTATTAGTTATTTTATTAATAATTTAAATTTATTTAACTACCTACTTTGTTTTTTTTTTTTTTTTTTTTTTTATTATTAATATTCAACAAATGTTCTTGTACACCTATCCATGAAATATAATTTTTACTGATTACTTTTTGATTAGTTGTACTGTCAGTATTACTTAAGAGATATATTATTGATGCCAATTACAATTAGATGTCAAATCATTGCGCGCTCTTTTTCCCATTCACTGACGCATCAAACGTGATTATTTACAAACAAAACCTTCCACCTCATTCTTATCTCTCAGTAAATCACATTGCGCTAACTTCCTCTACGTCAATGCGTCAATTTGCTCTTGTTTTCCCTATTCATGTGATTTCACATTTATATTTCTCACTGTCTGTCATTAAATAAAGAAAAAGAAGTTATTGACTGCTTAATTTGTTTTTGAGAATTTTTATTTCTTTTATAAATCGTTTTAAAGTCAAACCACAATATTTTTTTGTTCAATAACAAAAAAAAAAAATAATAATTTAATAATAGAAAAATGTTTAAAATTTAAGAAATTTTTTTTTTAAATTGTGATTTTTTACTGCTGTTAATTAGAAAATGTTTTTTTAAGCTTTAAAAAGCTTTTTTCTGTTCTTTATTCATAAATATGAGAGTTATCGCAGAATGAAGTGAATAAATAATTAATGCTTTTTAATAAGATTATCAATAAACATTCAACTTTTATTTCAATATGAATTTGTGTATTTTTAATAAATTAATGAAAAATATAATACAACTTTCCGACGGCAACGTGATGATAATTTAAATGTAAGTTAATAATTTAATAACAAAGGTAGATGAAATGAATTTCCATTTTAATGTGGTCTTTAAGTTTTAAACAGACAAATGAGAAGAGATCAGCTTAAAGGTGATAGGTTACAAGTAGTACGTAACTATGTACATATACGAATATATATATGTGCACATTGGTGGCAGAAGTTTATATTGTCCTATCTCTTGAGAATATTGTGTAAGTTAAGTAACTTCACAAAGGAGAATTTCAAGGTTGCTATTGCAATTTCTTTAACTGTTTTTCTTTTACTACAAAACAACGCTTTTTGTAGAACTTGAATTTAGTAATTAAAAAAAAAAAAAACCTAATAAAGTATTAATAATTAACTCAAAAATGTTTATATTAATTGATAATAAAATAAAAATCTCGAGAGGCAGTTTTTAAAAATTTGTATTTTTTTTTTTTTTGCTTGCAGGTACCAAAATGAATTGCCAAAGCAGATTAAAGCTCGTGGCAAAGATGCTCATCTCATTCATGAGGAACTCGTACAAACAATGAAATGGAAACAAAATGTAAGTGTCCTTTAAAAGTACGCACCTTTGCAAAAAAAAAATTCGCCTCTGGACTTCATCTCATGAAACTTTCTCCTTTTTTTTTGTGTGTTGCAGCGCGGGAAATTTTATCCACAACTTTCATACCTGGTGAAGGTAAATACGCCCCGAGCTGTGATGGCAGAGACGAAGAAGGCGTTCAAAAAGCTTCCAAATATTGAACAGGCCATCACTGCCCTCTCAAATCTCAAGGGCGTTGGCACCACCATGGCTTCAGCACTCTTGGCGGCGGCCGCACCTGAATCTGCACCTTTCATGGCCGACGAGTGTCTTATGGCTATACCCGAGATTGAGGGTATTGACTACACGACCAAGGAATACCTTAAATTTGTCTCGCACATCAAGAATACAGTGCAGAGGCTCAACAAACAAGGTGAGTGATAAATTTTCATTAAATAATAAAAATAAATTTTGATGAATTTTTCATTATTATATATATTTGTGGAAAATTGAGATTTAAGTGAGAAGGCATCTTTTTTTTTGGTATAAAAATAAAACATTGATCCTTTGCAATAAGAGGTGTAAGAAAACCTTTAAAAATGGAAGCATGACCTGCTAAAGCAGGACACCAGGTGGTCTTAAATAGAACTGAAGCAGGTGATGCCACTAGGTGTGCTTTCGATCAATAATGATCATTATAGATAGTTCGCTAGAGCTGTGAAATTAGAGATCCTCAAAGATTCTAAATTTATTTTTTTTTTGTTATATTTTTTTTGCCATAAAATGGGAATTTATAAATAAAAATTAAAATTGCTAAGAAACAATATTTGAATATTCTAATTTTTTTTTTGTAATTAATTTAAAAAAAAAAAAAAAGAAGTTAAATTTCTCCGCGACGAATGAGAATTTGAAGAATTTTCGAGTTCTACACCATTGAGGATGACTAAGCGCACTAGGCACCTCTTTCTAAAACGAGAAGTCACCGAATCTTCAAAAACCCCTCTAACGAACCGGTATCTTCTGCTTCTTTCAGCGACAAATGGTAAGACATGGAGCCCTCATAGAGTGGAATTGGCCCTCTGGACGCATTATGTTGCTTCTGAATTAAAACCCGAATTGCTCGATGGTATTCCAATAACGGCAGAAAATGGAAATTCCCATTCACCAAGCAATGGTGAAGCTACTGAGCCGTCCGATGATAGTAATCAAGAGCCTGCTGTTGTTAATGGTAAAGAATCGTCGGAGCCACATCATACAAATGTGATTGACGAAAATAGTACCACTAATTCATTTACCGAGGACTCTATGGATAAGCCAACCACTCCTTTAGTTGCCACTGAAGACGATGACAGCAATAATACTCCACGTCCCACTGACAGCGAAGACACTGAAGATTCGCAGGACGTTCAGGAGCCACCAGCGAAAAAGAACAAGAAGTGACCCCGTAGCCGATCCCCCATAAATACTGTAAGTCACCTCGTGTCGACCGCCAATCTCGCGCTAATCGCTGCTAGACGCTTCTAGCCACTCGAAAAATCGCGAAATATAATTTAAAAATAAAAAATTGAGCCACCTTTTTATGATCGCTCTTCCGTCTGCTTGTCTCTTCTCAAAAAAAAAAAATAGGACCAACGGGAGACAGACAATGAAGGTTCGCGACACTGGTGCTAAAAATCCAACGTTCTTTGTTTCTTTTTTAACATCAATTTCAAAAAAAAAAATATTCAGAATTCGCGATTATTTAAAACACTAGGAAAAAAAATTTACAATCGAGGTGACACTTGGTTCATTAAAAAAAAAAAAATGGCGTCTTCACTTGGAAAGTTTTGACGCACAAAATTCAAATTTTATTAACTTTCCAATTTTATAAAATTTGTTGATAATAAAAATTAAAAAAAAATAGTTATTCTTTCATTCCGGCTCAATTAAGTGTCGCCTCGCGTGTACTATTTTTCCTCAGGATATAATGTACCTTCTGTCTTTCTCCTTGCAAGGTCGCTCTAAAAGGCTTATCTCGAGATGCCACTAAGTCTACTCTCAAGTCGTAAACTGTTTCTCAACCGGCCGAGGGGGGCAGGGAGAAAAAATAATAAAAAAAAAAAATAAAAAAAAAAAAAAAAGTGGGGAATTAGTTGTCACGAGTGAGAAGTAGTAAAATAGAGAGGAGATTGAGAGGGCAGAAAAGCGAATCTATATAAATAAGCGACAAAAGGCGGTGCGCGCTGATTGCATTGATAACATTATTAGTAATTAAAATACTACCGAAATCATTACCATAATTTATATACCTAAACAGAACTGCATGTCAAGAGTGATGCATGGAGTAAACCAAATACCTTGTAAGTAAATTCTTAGAGACAAATGAGATAAAAAAAAAAAACAAAAAAAAAAAAAAAGAAAACCCGAAAAAAAAATAAAATAAAGGTTTAACGCTTTGAATCCACCGGAGGAACAATGACGGCATACTTGCGCACCGCGCGTCAAGGTTTTTATGTACAGGGATTTAACTAGTATTTTTGCATAACAATTAACGCGAGCGAGAGAGAAAGAAAGAAAAGAAACAAAACACAACAGAGGTATAAAGAAATTAATTGATGAGAAAGAGAGAGAGAAAGGTAGATATACGAGAATGTATGTGTGAGTGAAAGAGATAGTTTAGAAAAAAAAAAAAAAAAAATATTAACTTGATTGAGAGCGTTCATTCAAATTTTATAAATACACATATTATATATTAAATATATATATATAAATATATTATATATATTTGTAATTTAGATCTGGCTGCGTTGCTTTGCGACCTTTTTACCGCAGCCAGCGGAATCAGGTCAGCTAAGCGAACCCCTGCTAAAGAAATATTTAATTCGACACATTATTATCATTATTATTTAGTAAAAAAAAACGGAAATTTACTTTATTTTTCAAAATAATGACCAATTTGAAATTAAATAGTTAATGAAATAAATATTAGACAAGAATAATGTAGAAATATCGAACAAAAATCCTCTAATTCGACGTAAAAGTGCCAGATTTTGGGCACTGATTAAAAAAAAAAAATCGTTGTTCCTCCAAAAAAAAATTTTTTCCACATTTTTTCTTGTCAATCTATTTTCCAATGATTGATTTTCGATTTTTGCCATTTATATATAGAACACACGAAAAGCGTAGTCATGATTGACAATTAATTAATGACGATGATGACAAATATGCGAATTATAAATGTAATAATAATTGATCAAGTCTTAATTAAGACAATTATAATTGTAATAATCTTTGTATTTATTTAGCGCCTATTTCCTAGTTCTTGAATACCTGTTAAGCATATATAGTGCAGATAAAGTATTGTAATAGTAAAGTGATTTCGTTTTTTTTTTAAAAAATTCCTTACAGAGTTTTTTTTTCGAAAATTATAAACTGGGATTTCAAGATTCTTTTTTTTGATAATGATGGCGACGACGACTAAAGTTGCTACTGGGACAAATGGTGGGTAATTTTTTTTTTATTATTCTCTTAAACTTATGTCTATTACTCTTCTACGCCTGAATGATTATTATTCCCATAAATAACACATAAACATTCCAGAGATTTAATTTTTAAAGAATAAAAATAAAATTATAAAAGCTGTAGAAGAGGAATTCCTTTTTCTCTCCAATTTGTTGTCGCCGTATCATTTTTTTTTTTCGGTTCGTTTTAGCTGATCACAAAACCATTTAACATCAAGTGGAAAAAAAATCGGAGTGTCAACTTTAATTGATTATATAATAATTGAAAAATTTTCCGAATTTAAAAAAAAAAACGTAAAAGATTTTGAATAAAATGAAATATTAATTTGAAAAAAAAAGTCGACACTCTGCTGGTGGATTTTTTACTAACGATAGCGGATATTTTATAAGAGAATTTTTGTATATTCCGAATCTTTAAAGACATCATTTTTTCCACATCGGTCTTTTTTACAGCCTTTGGGAAAGAATAGAGCCTTATTGTTATTATTAATATTATTTTCTTTTTGTAAAAGTGTTACTCGTCTCTAATCATCATATATAGAATTCAACTTGAAACGAATAGCAAACGAATAAAAATAAAAATTGTGCTATCGTTGTATTTCTTGATTAGAGAACGAAACCTGTACCATTATATTGTACTGTGTAAAAAAAAAAAAAAAAAAAAAATACGAATGTCTTAGCTTTAACACGTTTCTTTCGTATAGCGTCAGCACTTGGAGAATTATGACGCGGTGTTTCCGGTCACCACGAAAGATATAAATATATATAGAGAGTGAGTGCGTGAGAGAAAGAAACGGATGCTTTTTAACTATCAAGAAACATTTCTCGGAAATTTATAAATTTCTGAAAAAAAAAATATCCTTAATTCATTCATAGCGAATTTTCTTTTTTAATTTATATAACAAAAATTTTTTTCAGAAATAAAAATTTCCCAGTTTTGTTTAAAACTCTCACATCTGTGGTAGAATAGGAATTCGACGGAAATTTTTCTTCTAATAGAAAAAAAAAAAATTAGGGAACGCTACGAAAATCGAGTTTGCGAACCACATTTGTAGAAACACGATACACATTTTTTAATGTAAAAAAAAAGTGTACAAGCGCATATATATATATATAAAAATATAAACGTGGTGGTTTTTTTTTTAACCCGCTGGAAAAATAAAGAACTATGACTATTCTACCGAAAATGAGAGCATAATAAGTGAGAACTTGTCTCTCGGGAAACTCAAAAACCCGCGAGACCGCGAAGAAAACAAACTGATTTTAGCTGTACAGTTGGGAAAACAAAACAAAAAAAAAAATTCTGTTCTGTAACTTTTGGGATTAATAAGCAAATGTATGTCTGAAATAAAGTGTCGTTTGAAAACATTTCTGAATTGAATTTTATTAAAAACAAAAAAAACGACTCTTAATTATATTAACAAAATATTTTAAATATAATAAATATATATATATACTAATAACTGTTTTTCAGTAATGAGTTTTTGGCTTCTTATTTTTCCAAGTTGGTGATAGGCGAATTTAAAAAAAAAAATGATCGCTTTTTTCCCAGGGAAAAATGGAAGAAAGCAGCGAAGCGGAAAGCGAGATATAAAAAATCGTAGAGAACACCTTCTCTTTCATTCTATAGTTGCTTAAAATAACTAAAAAAAACACACACACAAAAAAACACAACGCCAAAATATTACAATTTTTATATTTTATCTGTCGTTAGCAATAAAAGTATAATGTTTCTCAATTTCGGGTTTCTCAGCGTCAAAGGTAAAAAATAATAATAATAAAAAAAAAAACCATATAGTGAAGGAAAGCGAAGCGTATCAATGTTAGCGATATCTCATTTTTAAGCGAATCGTGCGTTTCACTGCCACGAACGAAAACACGTTTCAAAGAAAGAAATTTTAATGATGAAAAAAAAAAAAGACGAGAGACAAATTTTAGGGAATTGACGAAAGGTAATTGAGGATAATAACTGGGGTTGAAAAGAGAGGGAAAGAGTAAAGAATAAGGATGTTGATTAAAGGAAGCTGTGGAATTTTTCGAATAGTCAAATTTTTTTTTTTTTTTTTTGACGATTATGTGAAATTAAAGAAAGAGTTTTCAAATGTTGAATTATATAAAATTATTTATTTCTGAAAGGAAAATTATTCAAGTATTACGTAATAGCTTATTTCAGATTTTCTATTAATATAAATATTCTTAATTTAGAAAGAAATAAATTAATTGATTTTTAATTGAAACAAAAGTTAATTCACACATTTTACTTCGATTATTTCTTAAATTGAATTCTCTTTTTTTTAGTAATGGTAAAAAAAAATTGAAATAGGAAAGTAGAAAGAGAGAAAGGGGTAAAGAAACGAAACAAAAAAAAAAAGCATTGACATAGTTAATAAGACTTTTTGCATATATATATATATTGTTCCTCATTTTTTAGAATTCCAAAAAACAATTTATACACTTACCTATAGCGCTGAATATGATAAATTTAGATATTTCACTTATGGCCTTAAGAGAGACAAAAGAAAATAAAAAAAATAAAAAAAAAAAAAAAAAACCAACCACCAAAACAGCAATCGATTTACAGATGATTTTTAAGTTGACTATTCGTTAGTTAATATATAATATGATGTAATTTATAATGGTTGTATGGAATATAAGTAAATATTCAATTATCGCTGTATAACGAGACGAGGAGGCGGATTATGGAAGAGAATTGATGTCGATTGTGGTCAAAGGGGGATGATGAGAGTGAGATGAGTTTGCTGATAATGAAGATAATGACGAGGATGATGATGATGATGATGATAATGATGGTGATGATGATGATTGAGTGAAGATTAAAGATAATGAAAAAAAAAATCGATAAAATAATCACAACTATTATTGATTGATAAATTCGCTAATTAAACTTTGTGAAACGAGAAGCGAACTGTAATTATTATTATTATTATTATTATTATTCTTATTATTATCAGAGTGAATATTACTGTAGTGGATGATTATTTAAAGAATAAATAAATAAAAAAAAAAGAAAAAATAAGACGAATTTTTTTTGTTACTTTTATACCCTTGAGGATCTCAGGTTTTTAGTTTCAGCTTCACTCGACAAGGATCTCGGAGTGTAGAGAAAGTCTCTCGCAAGTTGCTCTCCCGACTTTCTCTCGACCCTTTTCACGAGGCAAACACATTGTGCGTGGTTTAACAGTTCCTGTGAGTGTTATTGAAGAAATTTTTTCATGTTTAACCATTTTGTCCCTGAATTTTTTTTTTTTTTTTTATATTTTACTTTATCTCGAAGAGTCTTTTATAATGGATTTTGAATAATATTGTGTTTTACAAAATTAAAATTAAGTTTTTTTTTCAAAAAAATTTTAATACAAGACCCAGGGAAAATTACATTTTGAAATTTTAATAATAATCAAAACTGAATAGTTTTTGAAATAATTTTTCTTTTTTTTGTTTTACATTGACGAATGAAATCTTTGGATATTTCGCTCTTGAAAGACCACCTTCACCGAGTTCTCCATCAAAGCGCAACTATAGCACGCCATCGTAATTGAAAACAAGCTCTATACACGTAAACCGTCGCAGTTGAAGAGAGTGAGAGTATATATGTCTATATT